AGCTCAGTCGGTGCAGAGGCACGCCTCCCGCTGGTTCATGGGGAGCTGCAGTTCGAGCCAGCCCCTCGAACCCTCCCGCCCCGTACCCAGGGGAGCAGTTCCTCACCAATCCGAGCAGCCTCGCGCACATCGCGCTAACACGCTCCCCAGACTGATTCCCCTCACAATCGTGTCCCACGGAACGTTTGATTTCTCGTTAGCACCCTGGTTTCGCCCGTTCCTCACGTTCACTCCCACATCCCTTGACATCTCAGAGTTTCAGAGCAATTCTCTGAAAATGTCGATGACGACTCGGGAGCCAGTGGACATGGTGGTAGCTCATCGATTATTCAGGCCGGTAACGAAGAGCGAGCGGCTCGCAAGGCATCTACCGTCGTCCGAGTGCAGCACCGATCGATCGGATGCTACCGACCGAGCGAGACTGGTCAGTCGACTAACTGACAGCAAACTCACTGACGTTAGTTCATCAGTCATCCTGCAGACTGACAGTCAACTAGCGGACTCTCTAAGACCATCTCAAATCAGTCATCTAGAGGAATAACCGACTCTACAGCCCAACAACCATCTAACAGTCGAATGAAGTCAAACCAGCATGGTCAAGAGCAGTCCCCTGACGGACTGATTCATACCAGCTGCCAGCAAGCAAGTGTGATAACAATTTTCAGACTGATGGTCTGTCATTCATGCAAGAGCATGATCTGTCTGCATTCTGGCATTAAACAAGAGTTCAGATCGTCATCGTTCGTCTGGATTTTCAGTCAGCCATGCAGTAACTGATCACCAACTAGTCTTCCTATACCTATGCATGGATTAGGTATAGGTATTAGGAATACTTCATCCATGCTATATGCAAAGCTGCAACGTTTGGTGTTAAGTGGCCCAACCAGCGCAGCAGCCAGCTGTCACATTTCGTGTGAGTGAACACCTCCATGTATTTGGAATGAATTGTCTAATTGTGCTCAAAGTGTCTAATGTTCAACGAGTTTCATTTGCACGAAACGACAGGCATTGTTCATGAATGACCCAATCTGGTCCATGCTGATGAGCAGCGGTCGAATTTCCAGTCACGATATGAGTTTCGGTGGTGAAAATAAAACCATTGACGGATACAGTGGGCTCGGTCGCGCTGCTAGCGGCTTCAAACCGACATAAATGGCTTCTATTCTTAAACATTTTGTCAAAATCGGAGGGTGTCAAAAGATCAAAGCGGCGGCTTAAAATCATACTGAGGGTTGAAAACCTGGCTCATAATTCAGCCATAACTAAAGATCGGATGCAGTTGGTACGTTTTTGCTGCCAGTTTCCTTGCTATTGGGACGGGCCTCGAAAAGATAAGGATAGCAACGGTTACAAGTGGTGCATAATTTGATTTATCACATATCAGCTTGTAAGTTATGTTCATTGGAGAAATGTTCCATTGACGCATTTCTGTGAAACATCTGCGTTGAGCTTGTTATGACAATGCACAACACACATGTGCCGGTGTTAGGCGGAATTGTGTGAGCTTTGGATTATGGTCATAACCCCTGACACCGCCGGACGGGCACGCTACTCCATGAATCACGGTCCTTCAGTGCTTGTTGATGTTGCAGTCGATTAACACAATTTTCCACTTGATTTTAATGAGCCAGCCGACAGTAAAGCATTGCAACGGCCGAAATACGTTATAAATGTCTACGAAACATGTGAAGTCCGGCGTTCAATAAAATAATGACCAAGATAAGCTGCATTATCTGTGTCAAATCAGGGAACTCGCTCTCATTATGTCAACCTGTTTTGACGTCTGAAACGTTAGACCATCTGCTTTCGCCCTTTGCAGGTGCACGGCTATATCGGAGCCAATTGAAGCTTCATTTACGTACAGCCATACATTTCATTCATTCGTGCTTCCTTTCAAAGCCAGCCTTCCTTTAGATTAGAGATATATTTGCCATCAGAATTGTGCATTTCCGGTTGGATTCTTTCCCGGCTTGGAAACGTCAGTTAAAGGGACCCTCCCACCTTCAAAAAAGTTTATGAATTGGCATGAAAGTTATGTCGCTCGGTTCAGAAAGAGCGAAAACGAATATCTACCAAATTTCACCGAAAAATATTCACCGGTTTTCAAAATATTAGACTTTTACTTTTGTTTACTTTTTTGGGATATCCGCTGTTTCTAGCGACTTTAATTTAGAAGTGCGGCGTTTGCGGCAGATATTGCGCGCAAATACAGGGTGTTTCACAATAAATGTTACTTTTGAATAGCTTAAATGAAGATCTTACTTGTTCGTAAGCGCGTAAATTTTATATGCATTTTGCTGCAATTTTTTTGCAGTTGTTAGTTCTTATATTTTTTTTTACAAACCGTCAACGGTTCCATCTGTGTGGACGTGCAATGCCAATACCGTCAAAACGGGTCAATTCGCCGTGTACAGATGATGAGGCCGTATGGGTGGTCATGCATTACGGCGCTTTGCGGAGTCTGACTGCAGTGCGACGGAGTTTCGGTAGCCATTTTAAAAGGAGGAAGGATATTCCGTCAAAAATGTCTTTCAAACGGGTGGTAGAAAGGTTCCAGAAGACTTGAAACACGAGACCATCCCCGCCTCCTGGCCGGACGGCGATCCCAGAAAATCTTATTGAAAAAAGTCAGACGGAATGTTCATCAGTCCTACTGTTCTGCTGTCTCATGTGGTAATACTCATGAGCCATATGTAATACATGTCACTGAAACATCGTCGTTTGAAAAGCAACGTTCATTGTGAAGGACCCTGAAGCTTAACAGCGAATTGACCCGTTTTGATGGCGGGGACATTGTTGCACGTACATAAAGAATGCAGTTGATGATTCATCATAGTTTTTGTAAGGATAAAAACCCGAAAGAATTTGCAACAAAATGAATATAGAATTTATGGGCATACGAATAGTTGAGGTAATTTTAAAAGCTTATCAAAAGTAACGTTTATTGTGAAACACCCTGTAGCATATACCACCGCGTGCTACAAAACGTTTTAGTCAAACATTTAAAAATCGTTAGATATTTGCGCTGACGTCACACATTCAGAGGGGTATTCCTAAGCATTAGCCCCTCTGAATCAAAATGCTGCAATTTTGAAATTAAATATTTCCGATTTAAAGCATTTCTCGATGTTGTGAGTGCCGAAACCGGTAATTGTGAGCCAGGGACCCCATTTTGGCTATCTCAACTCAAATCTAATGTTAAGGTGGGAGGGTCCCTTTAAAGGTAGTGTGCCACCTTTGAAAGATTTCCCATTTTATTTTTCCTAGGATAAGAAGCTTCTGTTTTTACCTAATATCGCAAAAAAAAAATCAAAAATTGGTCTGGAATAGTGCCTTTTTCGCCTAAAAGTTTTTCGGTTTTTCGATATGTATAACAACTGTAGTGCGCTGATCTGCAAACGGGCGTCGGCAACAATCGCGAATGCGGCGCACATGTGACAATAAGCAAAGGTCATTATAGAGTTACGACGTACGGGAATGAGTTATCAGCTGTCTAATCGTAGACAACACAATGTCGAATTTAAACTGTAAGCCTGTATTGTTATTGTTTTTTTAATTTAGCTCTCGAACATTAATTTATGGTTTGAAATATTATTTTATGTAAAATAATTGATATGAAACAGCCGTCTCTAAAGTTATGATCCCATCTCACAACATGAAAGTGGCAGAAATGACAATGATCAGCTGACGCATTTTTCTTGGCCGAAGTCAGAGCGCGCGGCCCGACGCACCACCACCGCACGACAAAGCCGCGCCCAAAGCCAGGGCCCCGGTAACGTGAGGTAGCCGAGTCGGGGCAGCGTGCGCTGACCCAAGCCGGGGCCGCGGCTTTGGGCGCGGTCTACCGCATCCCCGCGGGCAGCCCCGGGCTATCACATGACACCGGGAGGACGCGCGGCCCCGGCTTGGGTCAGCGCACGCTGCCCCGACTCGGCTACCTCACGTTACCGGGGCCCTGGCTTTGGGCGCGGTCTACCGCACCACCTAACAGGCGTGTTCGAAACCGCAGGAGATGATGATGAACGGGTTTATCGAAACTTGATTGGATGAGCATATCGGTAATAGCGATTTCAGTGTGTGCATTTATTGTTCATAGTGGTGTGAAATGTAGTTGGGGTACGACCGACAACCCGTCGGGGCGAATTTCGCACTGGGGTACTCAAAATTTGAAGAATGTAAGACGTTTCCATGAGTTTTGAAGGTATGGATAAGTTCTAAAAATCCGGTTCTCCTTATCTGGGCCATTAACTCCATACGGTCCAGGAAAGCTGGCACACTACCTTTAAGAAGAGATCTGGCAATCAATTCGCATTAGTAAATCGAACGCAACTCATCATACAGCGGTTCTTTTTATGTAGATGACAGGTCAATGGTACAAAATAAAACTCATTAATAGAAAAAGAAACATGGATAGGATACAAAATAACATAGTACTTACAAAAATGGCCATTGTCCGTCTCTGATCTGTTCGTAATAAAAATATGAACAGTATAGCAAAATGCAATTAGGAGGTGTATTGAATTCCAACTATCACGGCCTCCTACGGAATAGCCAGTTACCAGGGACTGCTCTTTTTACCGATTGCCTCACCCATCAGCCAAACGCCGAGCCAACATTCCTCGAAGAATCAACCACACGTATCAATGACCATGCCACTTGCTGGTGTACTGTACTGGTCGAGGTCTCAACAGATGTTCATGCCTTATAATTCAAAAACAATCGCTCACCAGCAAAAAGGCTGCTTGGTAGGAGAGATAAGGACGACAGTGAGGGAGCCCTCGTTAGAGCGGGCCACGGACCCGGCGAGAGAGCTCTCTCGATAGAGTGTCAGGTAGGCGGCAGGGGCTGACGGGTCATCATCTTTCCGGCGTCGACGACTGATGGTATCGAGTGTCGACGCCGACGGTAGGCTCGCCCCCGGCCGCCGCCCCCTCCCGTCGGCCCCGTCGTCCCGCCCGCCCGGGTCTGCCGGGTCCGCGCTCCTTGCCCGGCGGCCAGTCGAGTGGTGGCGGCGGCGGCGTGCGGTGGTACTCGTGCTCGCACGGCACGGAGCGAGCGGTGCAGGCCGACGGCGGAGGGCACCATGGGGCAGACACGTGCCATGACACCACTGGTGCTGACGCTGGTGCTGATGATAGCTGTGAAAGGTGAGTGCCTGTGATTACAGGTGTGCGAAGCGGTAGTTTGGAAACGCGGTGTCACGCCGATCTAAATGATGTAGTCATTTGTTTTGTGCGAGTTTTCCGTGGCGTGCTGCCTAATGGCATCGCAGGCCATTTCTACTCTTTCCCTAATTAGATAATCTCATTGATGTTTAACTTAGGCGTGAGGAGGTGATCATTATTTATTATGGAATGCAAAGAGGTACAATATTCCTCACTTAAATAATCTAACCATGTCAGATAACAACCACGTGCAGCAGAAGACGTCAACAGCAGAAAGATATCTAGCAGAAAATGATGTCAGGGAATGTTTTAATGCATCAAACGCTACACTGCGCTTTGGAGCAAGGTCAGTAGCTGTCCGTAAGCCGTCGAGCTTTTGCAAGAAACACTAAACGTGTCTCCCTTGGGAAGACCAACAGGGCTTCACTACAGGACGTCGGGGGATAACAAATGGCGAATACTCTTGAAAATCACTGGTATTAAGCCTGACCTGCAACCAAACGCAGGTATCCTCATTCTTTTCCAGTCCCTTGGAAAATGCATACTATGAAGACCGAATTAATGTGATTTATATCTCTCCATTAATGCAAAGTCTACAGTTCTTTTAACTTTAAAGGCATGGTATAAAACTCTTTTATCGTGGTGTTCCCGTTAAAGGGGATTTAAAGTGTGTGCCTCTGCAAGACCAACTAAGGATACAGCGCACATTTCAATATTTATGATTTCTTCACATTCGTATGCTCCCATTGATGGTATCTATCTTGCGTCTTCGTTAACATACTGAGCCGTTCTGTTCTGTTAAATCCTGTTCGCTACATCCAACTGATAACGTTGAATTATTAAACATTAATTCACATTACCCAGCATTTCGACTTATGCATGGTATTCAAGAGGGCAACATCGTTTCGTGTTGAAACTGACCAAGTTTTGAATTATTTGAGCCTTTAGCCCTTTCACCACTATCTCGCTCAGAAATCCATGGAGACGGGGCACACGGCAGAGTGCTCAAAACTTTGAATCCTGTGGGCATACGTGCAAAGACCCCCGAAGCACTTTGCCTGGAGCCACCCGAGTATTACGTTCTGTACTTTGAGGTCGAGATGCATGGCGAGTGCCTAAGGCCTTTTCGATTTCTCGGCGCTCTAGTCCTTCGAGATTACAAAAATGATGCAACTAACGGAACGGAACGGAAAACGGAACAGAAAACATGCAGAATACACGATTGACTGTAAATGATGGATATCGTATAAAATGAAGTAAGCCAAATAAAATAAAAGCATCGCTGTTAATTTCGAAAAGCTAACCTAACTAAAGGAGTTCCTCAGGCGTTACGCAGGTGGCGATAAAGCTATATGGCTGCGAACGACACAGTAACTAGTATAAAACATGCATTGTGCGCCATGTTGCATCTATACATCATCTCTTTTGTTTTACTTTTCAATCTGGCAGATTATTGTTTGCGACTTTTTCACCAAAACATTGTACCCCCACCGATCAATGAAGGCATGATGATACTCTTATTTTGCGAGTCGGTTCAGGGCATGGTCGCTGACATGAACAGCTGTGTGGGAGTGATTGAACACCGGCCGTATGTCACTATAAACACGGCATTGACATGACGGCTGCCAATGTCGATGTCGCGACCGCAAAGCCCACCTTCAGTGCGGGCGTTCGGCTGTAGCTAATCAATTTTTAACAGCTGAGCTACTCTACAGAATTCACTGCCGTGCGATGCATGCCTGGGCGAGGGTGGCAACGGCCGGACCGTCACGAGGCAGTCGCCAAACAATGCATTGGTGACGGATAGTGAAATATGGACCTAATGTAATATAATGGTATACTTTCTACTAAAAATGGCCATGTGCGAAATTCCGTCATTTATCTAGCGTTGCGTCAGGCAAGTGACGGCTGCAGTAACTGCTCAATACGCCACCAAGTTCGGAGCGTGACCGGCGCCGGGCCGCACACAATGCCCGGTCGCCGCGCGCCTACTTACACGGCCGGCGCACACTCATTTGGCAGTCATTTACCAGCGGGGGCCGCGTCACGGCTGGACACGCCGTGACGAACCGTTCAGCCGTGACGGACCGGCAGGGTCCGGAGTCACCGACGTCACGTCCGAGCACTCGCGGCTGCAGATAAACTCGTCACCGTCCGGCGGCCTCTCCACGCCCTAATCGCCGCGCGGGGGAGCTTGAGCGGTCAGCCGAGGGCCGCGACTCTCTCTCTCTCTCTCTCTCTCTCTCTCTCTCTCTCTCTCTCTCTCTCTCTCTCTCTCTCTCCGCCCTGTGATCTCGCCGGTGTGGGTGGGCTCAGTGAGCTGACAGCCGACAGCGGCCCGTCCCACCTCCAGAGGCCGGGGAGATGACTTAATCAACTCGGCCCCACTCCGTGCGGATGTTCTGTTTATGGCTGCGTGGTGTTACTCGGCTGATAAAGTACCCGTCAGACGGACTGGAGCCGATTGTCTCTCTCAGCGGGTGATATGCAGTCTGTAGGAGCGCGAGTGTTACTGAGCCGGACCTGTTCTCTCGCGGTAACAACTTCCGTTGCTAGAGACGTGTCAGTCAACCAAGGCACAATGCTCCTTTTGACGCGCACAGATGAGCTCTCCACCGAGCTCCAGCACTTTGTTTTGTGTCTTAACAGTCCTCTGTACCGCCATCTCCGGCAGACCTGCAGCAGGCCAAGACCCCCAGGAGTTCCACTTGCCCGCTGTTTTGGAGCTCCTGCTCTCCCTGGTGGGTGTCTGCCCTTTATCTTCCGAGTCCAGTTTCCATCCACCTGTATAAAACATTGAAACTGGGTCTGGATAGTCCCAACTTTTCTCCGATATTAGTTGTTCCACCTGCACAGTGCACACTGCTCTACTAGGCTGTGGGCTGCCGCAGCCGGTACACGGGCTTGGTGAACATTTCTCCTCTCAGTACCATTCTCCACCCTATCTCATCCTCTGCCTTTGCTCGGTGCCTCTCTCCGGCATCTTTCTACTCCTCCAGGTCCGGTCATTTGTCTCCTCACGTCGCTCTATTGGCCATCCTCGGTACTGCGAGACGGTATAAGCGATCTCAGTCGCTTCTCCGGCCGGCCGGCGGCACTGCTCGCCGGATGTGGACGCGTCACGAGCCGAGCCGAGCCGCCCGGCACCTCACGGCGTTACGTACACAGCTCTGTTTGTGTTTGAAGACATCGATCAAACGTTCGAGAAACGCGCGCGGGCCGGGCGCCTCAGTCGTAGAGCGACGCACTGCGTCGAGCCGACCGCGTGATGTATGTCTTCCCCGCCTACCTGCGTGATTTGGGATCGTCTGAGCGCCGGGGCGCTGCGCTGAGCGGAGCGTGAGTTGTGGCCGTGCCGGGACGCTGCCAAAGAGCGCTGCGGTCCGGTGACTGCGACTGCCTTCCGGTGACTTGCTCGTGATGGGCGCGCTACAAATGCCGTAAACTGTGACGAGCCAACACTACTCGGCAGCCGTCTGCAGAACGCCCTTCCGCTCCCGACAAACGCTGTCGCACGGCAGTCAAACCGGCGATAAATAATTAATGGGGGACATTAGTGCGATATCGCGCGCTAGACCCGACCACACCCGCGGCCGTTATTCGGACCAACTCTTGACACAAACTTCACTAACGAGTGCCGATGCCGGTGCTGGCGTGCTCATTGGTCCACCGGCGCTCCTGTTTACGATCTGGGTCCACTTGGGCTGTCCATTTGGCTGTCAAATGCACGGCCAAAGTCCGCGGACCCGAGAGCGATGCGAAAACTCGGGGGCATCTGGATCTGGCGTTAGAGCAGCGATTATGGACTTTTATCGGTCCTCCAACTCCTGCATGAGTTTGATGCATCTGAACACAGTCTTACAGCACGAAGTTTGATGCATCTGAGCTTGGACCTAGACTGAGACTGTCGAATGGCTTTGTCCACTTTGAGCTCCCTTCAACAAATGTCGACGAGGGAAGTTTTTAAAATGTTCTTTCCTTTTCGGTTTCCTCTGTCATGTCTGGTGAGACAGTGCGCACCTGGTCAGCACGCATTATGGTATAATGATTTTATGGCGAGCTGAACCGGTCCCGTCTTCCGACGTCACATTCCATTATGCAGGCTGGTAAAACGTGGCGAATTTTCTGGTGTAACCTGACAGCCGACCGGTTAGTACACATTGCCCAGGGGCGGCCGATGCATAGTTTATGGTAACCTGGTTACCCGAGTCATGCCTTCGCCTCTCATGACGAGACGGCTCTCGGGCGGCGGCGGCCCGCTGTCAGGGGTCCTGCGCATGCCACTCCAATTAGCATTTCATCACTGCGGTGAGCCACCTGAAACCGGCGAGCTGCTTTGTGGCGGAGAAATGCAGCGGCCTGGTGGCAGCTGCTGGGTCCCAGGGGAGACCAGCACACGGTCACAGCTCGACCCCGTACTGAGAAGGGAACCGGTGAGTCCTGAGCCGAAACGGGACGGTTTGGGAGACTGCAGTCTGACGTATGTGACCCCGCGACGTTACGGCGGAAATCACTTAGGTGGTGGTAAGGTAACTGAGTTTTGCTTTGGCAAGTGCAGTATGCATCATGGGGTATGTTTATCTAGGTCATGTCTTTTAATTATTGAAATTCATAATGTTCTTGAACTTCCAACAAAGCACCAACAATCAACATGCTAACACAAGAAAATAGCATTGGGTCCCACAGTTTTGCATTTCAAACTTGTTTGAAATGTGAGCCCCATTACTGAGCTGCTTCAGTTATGGGCTGGGTTCAGTGCTAGAGAGAAAAAAAAACATACCTTGCCAGTATTGCTTTTTGGCAAATGGCAAAGTCTCCTCTGCGGGTCACGTCCGGTCACAGGTCAGCGACCGGACCCGATAACCTTCTTTGGACCACTCACTGTAACCTCGCACCCATCTCTGATGGTCCGAACACGAAGTGGACTGAGGATACACGTGGCCGTTAGAAGAAGACGTAATGTTCTTAGGGCTATTGGGTAC